GCCCAGATATCTTAAGGGCCCCCTGGCCTGAGTCCAGGACCAGAAGTGTGTTGAGTTAGAGAAACAGCAGTGGGAGGGAAGGAGAGTGATTGCTTCTCAGCCCCCCAAACTGTGACCTCTCACCCCACAGAAGGCATCATGCACTTCAACCAAGGGCTGCCCCTTCCAGTGGGGTTTGGTCAGGGAGGACATCACGTCCACATCTTTCAGTGACCACTCAGGTTGGAAGGTAACAGCTGGTCATCCCACCCCCAGGGACAGGGGTGAAGTGGCCCTGGGATGGCTCAGGGCTCCCAGCCAAGGGACTCCTTTGCCCAGGGAGTGAGGACCTTTTGCAACCCTTTCCACTCTCAGGTGACAGCTTCCCCACCACAGTCCATGTCCCCGAGCCCTCCTGTCTCTGGTGGCCCAGAGAGGGGCTTTTCTGGTCTAGCTTCTCAGGTAGGCTCCTGGCACTAATAAAGCCGCTTTTTCCAGTAAGAGCTCATGAAAAGTTGACATCATATTCTTGCTGCTCCCTGATTCCTTGATTTTGTGTTTCGAATAATGCTTTTGAAATAGCAAGGTGGATTTGGGTGTGCTTGATATACTTAAATTTTTTAATCCAGAAAAATGTGTTAACATTTTGTTAGGTTTTTGCTGTTTTTTTAAGTGAGCACAGTAGTGAGCTCAGACAGGCCGACCGGGAGATGCGGGATGGGCAGAGGTGGCCGCCCCATGCCTGTGATCGGTCAGCCTGCTGCAGGGACAGTCTGCCCGCCCTGGGACTGGGACCTCTGGGTCGAGCTGACTACTGACCTGAGCAATCTGCACATCAAAGGTTGTTCTGTCAGCCGACCTGGGATTTCCAGCCGCCTTTTATGTCCCTAGCTGGAACCCAGTCCGGTCAGTGCTCAGCATCAAGGAAAGCAGCAAGAGTGACCTGCTGGGAGCCAGTGACCATGTGAAGGGCCTTTGTGAGGGGCAACCAGGGCTGCACACAGAAGCCTCGAGGTTTCAGGGGTGACGACATTCTTGACCACACGGCTGCCCAGTGCAGAGGCCGCGGACAGCTGAGCATCCGGGGAACGCGCTGCCTGAGGACCATCACCTTAGACCCTCATGGAGCGAGAAGCAGGGTCAGTCAGGAGAATAAAGGCAGCAAAACCACTTGCCTCCCTTTTCCTGTCAGTCCTCTGCTAGCTTAATAAGGACTGCCCCTTGTATGTTACCTTCCCGCCATCTGCTCCTTCACAAACCACAAATACAAATAACCTCCAATAAGACTCTTGGCCCAGAACAAAGCTTTATCTAAAACTGGGCTTCCTATTTATGTCCTTCCTTAATAATTATGATTTTGGGGTGAGTAGAATTTAATGAGGATTATGGTTTTTAATGCGTTAGACTTTAGATTTCCCAAAGGCAGAGTAGAAGTTCCCAAATAAATAGGAGCTGCTTGGTTTTGGGTCCCATCAAAAATAGCCTAAGTGATGAATTGGGCACGAATGTCTTTTTTTGAGCTAAAAAGTAAAGTACCCACAAATCATTAGATGAAACTGTAGAAGAAAAACGTTGCTGGTTTGGGGTAGGAAAAGCTTTCTTCATTAAAAAAAATGCAAATATAAAGTAAGAAGTTTGGCAAGTTTGACTAAATGATAATTTAAAGCTTTTATACCAGATACCTCAAAGATTAGTGATACAACGTGAGGAAAAGAGACACAGCGTGTGTCAAAGACCTGTGACCTGAAATGCATAGCAAACTCCTACAAACCAGCAAAAAAAGACACCAAAAAGTAAAATCCTTTAAAAATGAGAAACAAATAAAAATAAATTTTAAAACAGGAAATAAAAACTCAAGTGAGATTCCACTTTTAACCGGCAGGTTGGCCAACATTAGGCTGTCTGACAAACAGCAGGTTGTTCTGTTGGCCGACCTGGGACTTCCAGCTGCCTTTCATGTCCCTGGCTGGAACCGTGGCTGCAAACCTGTTGCTGCAGGCAGGAAGTGGCCTTTTTTGTCCACTGCCAGCGGGAAATACTCAGCAGCCTTTGAAAAGGGCAACACAGCAGTGACTACTGAAATTAAAACGCATCTTCCCTTCCATCCAGCAAGTCCCACCTCTACACGCCTGTCTTGGGGAAGCATTCACTAGTGTATACGCATGTATACAATTGGGTAAGTTCAAGTGGTAACTTGCAAGTGGTAAGAACTGGAAACAGTGTTAACAGTCCATCGGGAGGAGATGCTTTAATGAACCAGGGTGCAGCTCTCCAGAGAAACGCTGCACAGCAATCAACGAGAACAGAGGGTGAGACTGTAGACAACACCATCTCACCTGTGTACACACGAAGGGGAGAAGACATCTAAAGTACATTTCTAGAAAGACACAAACAGCATCTGAGGGACTGGCCCGGGAGAGGGTGGGTCACTTTTCATCTTTTACGGTGTTTGGTGTATTTCTCCTGTGTTGCAGCATTACTTTTTTTTTAGCTGTGAAAAGAATATGAAACTAATTGTTAAGCTCTTTGAAAAGCTTTTCAAGGACATGTCTGGAGTAAAGAAAAGAAACTAAAGAACAACATTTATCCTGTAGCACTTAGGTAAAAAGAATACATGGAGAAACAAAACTAAATGTCTTTCTATAGACACATGTAAATAAATATGCGGAGACACAGCTGAAGGAAGTTCCCTCCCAACAGGTACTTCTGAGAAGGAGGAGACTGTAACAAGATTATTGTAACCTGTGGGAAGTATTCAAGGGTAACTCATGAATTTAAAAGTCTTACCTTTGAGGCAGGAGAGGGTATAGCTCAAGTACTAAAGTGCATGCTCAGCATGTACAGGGTCCTGGGTTCAATCCCCAGTCCCTCTTCTAAAACTTACTAAATAAATAAACCTAATTACCTACCCACCCCCAACAACAAAAAGATAAACAAACAAAAAAGGACAAAAATCTTACCTTTGAGAAATAGAAGCAGATCAGATAAAGCACACATCTATTTTGATCAAAATAAGTAACATTAAAAATATTGGTGTATTTCACTTATCATTTTTCTAATTTACACACACTTAGGTTTATTTAAATACCACACCATTGTACCATAAGAATGTTTATGTCACAAGTGATTTTTAATTCTGTAGCCACAATTTCCCCACATTTTTACATTCACACATCTTTTTTTCTCTACTTTTTAAACTTTAGATACAGAGTTTGTTAGGAGTTAAAAGGGAAAGACACATTCTTTCTGCTGAATAATATATCATATTTATCTTAAAGATGATTAACCTTTTGGATATCAAGGATTGAAACTGCTGGGAGTCATTTATTTCTAGGTCCCCAAATAA